ACTGTAATTATTAACAAATGTCTACCCATTTTTTCCTTTAGAATGCTACCTCCCCTAATAGACATTAATAGAGCATCATAACATCCTCTAGCAAAAAACAGAGTTAAGTCATTATGATTTCATGGCTGTAAAATGTTGTGGTCTTGACCTCAAAAAAGACAAAAGCCAACATTTCATCACTGTAGTTTCTCCCTTCAAAAGAATGACAGAGGATGAGGCAGAAGTGTTTTAGGGGCTTTTCTTATAAGTATAAACATACAAATAATATAAATGTCAATGGTCTTTGCAAACTTTTAAATCGAGCATATAAGAGGATTATAATTCTACATATGCTTTATTTAGTTATCTTATATATCATTTATTCATTCTTTTTTTGCAGTTTTTGGCCGGGGCCAGGTTTGAACCCACCACCTCCAGTATATGGGCCTGGTGCCCTACTCCTTTGAGCCACAGGCACCACCCTATTTATTCATTCTTTTAACAAATAATTAGTGAATATCTATGTCCCAGAGCCTGTCCTGGTTTATTACTTTTATTTCCCCTCCCCCCTCAAAAAAATCTTCCTGTACATTGCTTTCATTTTCAACAATCTCTCTTAACGTCCACCAATAGCCATGAGAATATATAGAATTATTCTTCCATTCAGACAAGTGGGAACCTATTTATTGGGTTAAGTTTTGAATGTAAGAGGAAAACCACCACCACATATCACAATGGCTTTAAGAGAGCACTAGTCAAGCTCCAAAAACGGAGACCTGTTTCATTTTTGAAGTTGCCCTACTGTGCATTCTGTCCCCTGTGTTATTTATTGGACTTGATGTTAAGAAGAGGCCCCTCCTCGCCACAGTCAGACTTGCCAAGGCTGCAGGGAGTTACCTAGCCCTGCAGAGCCAAAGCCTTATCTCAAAGGATAAGGTGGAGTTTGCTCTTTTCCCTTATTGTGAAACTTGAGAATATTAAGTAATATGTTTATATCATACAGATCCAAAATCCTAACTGATTTTTTTTTTTAAATAAAACATCCGAGGCCAGCCGCAGTGGCTCATGCCTGTAATCCAGTCTGGGAGGCTAAGGCAGGTAGATTGCCTGAGTTCAGGAGTTTGAGACCAGCCTGAGCAAGAGTGAGACCCCACCTCTAAAATTGCTGGTCATTGTGGCAGGTTCCTACAGTCCCAGCTACTTGTGAAGCTGAGGAAAGAGAGGATCACTTCAGCCCATGAGTTTGAGGTTACTGTGAGCTGTGATGCCACAGCACTCTACCCAAGGTGCCAAAGTGAGACTCTGTCTCAAATTAAAAAAAAAAAAAAGAAAAAGAAAAAGAAAGAAGAAAGCATCCACCCTATTTCCTCCTGTTTGGAAAAAGCTACTTGGGGCATCTTCTCCTGTCAACTTTGGTTCACCCCATAAAATTTGGCAGTCCCACTCGCTCCCCCAGTTTCATGTCATTTTCTATCTGACATTAAAACCACGGGTTGTTCCTCAGGGCCAGCACTGCCAGACCCTCCTGGTAACACTGACTTATCATCTACAGACCAATATGTGTAGTGTGGAAGGGCCTGCCTGGGCAGGAACTGAAGCCCTTTGATAAAAAAATCAAGTAGGAGTATCTGAAATGCTGACATTTTAAAGTACATTATCCACAGTAACCACTCCCTGCCAAAAATGTTAATTTCATCAAACCATACACCGTATAAGGTAACCAAGGTAAGAAGAGATATCACAGCTTCTATTTATTTTAAAGATTAAAATTGACATTTGTTTCCCTTTTGAAAGAGTATCTCTTTAAACCATTGACACGTGAGGAAAACTATGTGGCAATGAGGTTTAGGCCTTTAAATACAGACCACACAGATAAATTCATTAAACAGAATCTGTTCCTCTTCTGACTCACTCTGTTCAGTTGAGTGATGCAGTTGATGGTTTTCAACTGAGTTTTTAGGATGTGGGTTAAGTGTCATTATGCCCCCTGGGAAGTGAGCTGAAGTGCAGAGTGAAGTCTGACCCCACAGTCTCTGTCTCCTCTGAACCACAACACAGCAGAAGAGACCAGGCAGCGCTGGTGGGGTGTGAAGTCTCTCACTACAGCCTCTATCTCTTCTGAACCACAGCACACAGAAGAGACCAGGCAGCGCTGGTGGGGTGTGAAGTCTCTCTCTACAGCCTCTGTCTCCTCTGAACCACAGCACACAGAAGAGACCAGGCAGCGCTGGTGGAGTGTGAAGTCTCTCACTACAGCCTCTATCTCCTCTGAACCACAGCACAGCAGAAGAGACCAGGGAGTGCTGGTGGGGTGTGAAGTCTCTCTCTATAGCCTCTGTCTCCTCTGAACCACAGGACAGCAGAAGAGACCAGGCAGCACTGGCTCCTCTGGCCTTCAGTCTAACTACTCTAAATTAGGGGATTCTAAGAAGGATTTTAAAAGCATGAACATGTCAAAGTACTGAGAGCTTAGCCATCTTAATTGCTTATTGAGGATATATTTTACTTCTGTAAATTACTGTAAAACACTTATTTTAAGCTTACTCCTGCCAGCTGCACTGCAACATACCTCAATGTTTAGTGTGGAAGAGAAATAACTATTTAGATAAAAGGATATGAAGCTGATAATATAAATGGAAAATGTTCCAGCTCCTCGTCGTTTGAATTACTGATCTTTAAAACTGGAGCATTTGTTTCTGTCATAAATGTACCAGAAACTCAGCAACTTCAAAATAGAGATAATCATTTGTCATTTGCTGTCCTTTAAATACGCCCTTCTCCATACAACTAAAAGTACAAGCTGGGCTCACATCCTTAAGAAAAACATTCACATTTCCCACTCAAAATGTGAATCCTCACCAAAGGTCTCGGCCAGCGAGTCCTCCGGTTTCTTCTTTTCAACCACCGGGATCACGGATGTGCCATCACGCCCATGTCCATGTCAACTATTTCATACAATTACCTAGAGCAACTATAAATGTTAAGTCATCCCACCCCCAATGATGAAGCCACATGAGAAGGAGGAGGGTCAACTGGGAGGATGCCAAATTAGACATGAACAATTCCTAACTGTAGTTTCCTGACTTTGTAGGAGAGTCTGCAGTGTTAGAATTTACCCACTGAATGATGACATCATGAGCCACCACCCTGCAGGCCCTGGACACAGCAACAGGCAAGTGAGCATGCCTAGCAGAGATGCCCTCAGCCCAGGCACCGTCAGCGTACGTGACAGCCACTAATACATCAAGGCCTCGTGCACGGTGAGTGCGGGGAGGTGCACCACGTCCATGGGGAGAGCCTCCTCAGTTACCTACGTGGACGTTTTTGCCATTTTTGTTTCTCCTTAAACCTGGCACCAGATTTCTAAAATATTCACTTACATTGTTGTCTACATTTTGTGTTTGAAAATCCAAGGAAATACTTCAGGAAATACACTTCTTAACCAAAGCCTTAAGATACCGCGCCTGACACCTATGCAGTAGCCTACAGATCTCATAGCTTGAGACATGATTCATAGTTCTATGAACTCAGCTAAAACCTTCTTCTCAAAAGAAAACATACACACAGGGTACATCTTGTTCTCAAGCTTTTTTCTGCTTAATTGTCCTACAAGTACAGAGTGCTTACTCAAACCTATGTTTTTTAATATCCTTATACTAAACTTTAATACTTTTCTCTTCAACAGCGGGACTGGGCCACTACAATAAAGATTTAACTTCCAGGGTTCCAAGAATCTTAAGACAAAAGTTTTACTATTTAGCTTTCACCAACTGGACATTTTCCCACAGTCCTATTGTAAAAATGCAAGGAACCCAGAAAACAGTATGAAAGAAAATACTGCAGTTTCCGTTTTCCTAAGAAACTCAGGCATCACATTCTTATTAGTCTCAGAAGTATAAATGCAGGAAGCTGGGGACTGGCAGGGTTGGGGACACCAATCTTGTAACACCCATGGGTAGAAGAGACTTGCTGCAGAGACGAGGAAAGCACCCGAGCGGCTGCCGCTCAGACTGAGCCAGGCAGCGCGGGAGCATCACACGCCCAGGAGCACGCAGAGTTCACAAGGCAGAGAATCGCTCCACAGCAACCACACCCACTCACCTGCCCCAAGCCCACCGCCCTCCAGACTGCGGTTGGAACGAAATGCTTCCCAATGGCACCAGTCTGACCAGAGTTCTCCAGGTCATGTATGAATTGTCTCTTAGGCGACTTTAAATGTGGAATTGATCACAATTCACCTGCAAGTTCATTCAACTTTACTGCCTAGAACCCTGATTATTTTTTTAATCTCAATGTAAATAACAATAACATACATCTGTGATGCCTTCATATAATAATTACTTTAATAAATATTTATTAAGCCTTGTCTTCTCACTCCCAAATAAAAAACATTATTCTCACATTACTGATAACTCAGACAAGAGAAAGGGAACACACGCTGACACTGTCACCACAGCACATATAATATGACACTTCTTTGGTTTTTAGCAAGTACTAGGGAAGATTAACAAAAGAAGTCCGGGAGATTTTTCAGTAAAAACTTATTGCCCATCCTTTCCTAACTGAGACTCATCACATCCACAGCTTAGGCCCATTTTCCTGGCAACGATGGCATCACCCTCCTTTCATCAGATTTGCTCTCCATCACAGAGCTACAAGTAAGAATATCAGAAGTTGCTGCCAAAGACATTTATATAAATCCAGCAGCTTTCTTGAAATAGTCATGGAAGGTGGTAGCATTATATTTATGTTTGAGGGAGAGGCATAACTAACATAGGTACCTGCTTTAAAATAAGGCTTTTTTTAAAACCTGGCAAAACCATACTGATCCAGACTCTGATGCCCAATAAAGTGCTTAAAATTACTTTCTGTGTGGAACCAAGATGTGGAGATTAAAGAAACTCTATAGAAAGGGTTTGGTGCTCAGCTTTAGAAATATAAGCTACAGGGACCGTCTGCGTGCTATTCCCTCCAGAGACACACGTACGTGGACACACGCTCCCCAGACCCACAAAGCTCACCTTCTACTTCTTCTTCATCACACACATGCTTGAGGAAGGAAGCCCCTCTGTCCAGGACAGCTTCATCCTCCATCCTGTAGTAATAAAAAAGAAAAAAAGAATGCTCAGACTTCTCCTGGAGCGAGGCACTGGGAGCAGCCCAGCTCCTGGGCAGGCCGGCCTGTGAGCTGCTGTTCATGTTGGCAGAACACTGTTCTCTGTCAGAGTCACTGTTCCTCCGGCGTCTGCTGCTCCTTCAGGCAGCTCCTCTGGAGAACGTGCGGGCGCCACATAGCTCCGTTCTAACCTTGAGAGGGCACCCACATAGACAGGCAAGAGGAGACAATCCAGATCCTATAGGCTAGATGTTGGGGGCTCTCCCCTTTGGGGTTTAAAAAAAAGGATGAAAGAGAAAAGAAATACCAAGAGAGGAAGTTTGGTGTGTCTGGAGTGCTCGTGATGACCGTCTGTGGAGATGCAGCCTCAGTGCTCAGCTCTCTAACCGCCCACTGCATGAATGTATACCCTCACACACATGCACACCCACCCCCGCACAGAGCGGCAGGGAGCGGGGCTGGTGCACGGTGGGAGCCCAGCCACAGCCAGCCTCTGCATACCAGCACAGCCCAGTCTCGGTGGAGTGGCAAGCTTCGAGTCACATGTTGGCCTTACGGAAATCTGACATCTGAGGATTATTCAGCAACCCAGCTTCGGCCGTAGGCACATATACGTGCCCCCCATTCATTCATTTTCCATACTGTTCTTCACGTCCTTCTCTAAGTGTGTTTTCCCCTGTTAACTCTTCCCTGGAGGGCACAAAGGTCTTCATTTTCCAACCACACTGCGCTGTCCTCCCGTCTCCTTACATAATAGGATCTACTCTGCAATTTCATACGCTAAATAAGTCCTCAGAATTCATCCAAGGAACGATAGCGTTTCTATGGCCTCCCCATGCCAAACATGCTTCTAGTTCACGGAGCTTTATTTCCAGACTCTGCAGCTCCTTTTCACTGCATTAACTGATACACAGAATTCCATGAACTCTATTTATAGCAAAAGCTGAAAGAAATCCTGAATTGCTCAAATGCTGCTTGTGTAGTACTAGAAACAAAGAACTTTGGGGACAGCTGCTCTGTGTCATACCGTGCCCAAGCCCCGCCAGAGAACCAAATGTTCAGTCTGCATTCTGTGCATCCCATTATGTGCTCAGGCGTTGAGCAGGGCCTGCCTTCCATACTGTCTGTCTAACTTACTCTTACGCTTCAGATATTCTTATAATCTATGCACTAAATTCCTGTTTTCATCCTTTCTATTTTAGGAGCGCACAAAGCAACCATGGCACCATAAAAAGTCAGAAATTTGTTGTCGGGTAGTCCTGGGATTAAAAAGCCTAATTCTACTATTCAGTAGCTGTGTCATTTACCATAAAGTATTCAACATTTTCAAGCCTTGATTTTTCCGTCTATGAAATTGGTACCTGATATCAACCTCGCATTAATTCAACACAGCATCAGCCACATGTGACTGCTCTGAGATGCAAACTCCAGGGTTCCATTAGGGAACTGCTACCTCTGGACACCTGCGGGATGTCCCCCTGAGGGGTAAGGCCTTGTAGCTGACAGCTCATCTTGATCTATACCTTTTTCCTTCTCTATACACAACCAAACATACAAAACTGAATGCACACAGGAAATGCCTTCAGGCTTACGGTGGAAAACAAATGCCTCAAAAACTTGAAAAGTCAAGTTATCCACCACCCTCCCCATGCCTCAGGTTCCCATGAAAACTAAATGATACCACATATTCCCTGATTCAGCAAATACTTATCAGTGCCTGCTACGTTTCTGGTACTTATGGGGAATGAGGACACATCTGTAAATAAGACGAAGTTCCTCAGAAACTGATAACGAGCAGATGACCAAGGGGATCTCAAGTAACATTAAGCGCTTTACCAAAAACTAAATGAGGCAGAGGGATCCTCCGATGGGGTTCTGGGAAGGCAGCATGTGAGCAGCCGTGGGAAGGCCTGCAGGCAGGGCAGTGTTCCACACAGAGGGACAGCAAGTGCAAAGGCCCTGAGGTGGCAGCAAGTTTAGCACATCCTAGGAACAGAAACGAGGGAGGCCAGCATGGTTGCACAGATAGGTCAGCCACAGGACGTGAAAATGGAGGAAACCAGGGCCGTGAAACCACAGTAAAGAGTCAGAATTTTAGGTGTTATGGGGACATTAAAGAGTTTAAAATGGAAAGGGACTTGGACTTTACATGGTTACCTGGGCTGCTACGTGAAACAAATGGACAATTAGGGACAAGAAAAACCAGGGAACTATTGAAGGGCCCAGGGAAGCCTGTGGGGGAACAAGCTGTGGAGGAGGACCCAGTGTGTTTGGCTCCCTCAAGACTAAGATGCTCATTGTACTTGAATACAGAGCTGCTGGGGACACAAGCAGATGCCTCCATCTGGAGCTCAGCAGGGGGGAGGGAGATAAAAACTTGGGAGTCAATGAGCAAAGCTATCACAGGTATCACCGGGGAGATCGCTCAGGGCGAGAATGCAGAAGTCGAGGAACAGACCTCCATCTGAAGCACACCAACCTCTAGGAGCAGAGCAGAGGACACCAACAATCACAAGGCAAAAGAAAAACCAGGCAGAGTGAGGAGAAGGAAGTTGCACAAGGGGGGAGTGCGCTGTTCTACGGAGGCTGCGAATGGCAGAGACAGAGAAGCAACGCTGCTGCACTTGGCAGCAGGGAGGGTGCTGGTGCCATGAGCAAAGCACCAGGAACACAGTGGGAGACACTGGGAAGGCTCCGAGGGCTCCCGCATCCCTCTGCTGCCCCTCCATGCAGCAGTCGCAGGTATTTGCTGAGCACCCACTGTGTGCCCCACCACACAGAGTTGTCCACTGTGTGTCAGGCAACTCCGCAGCCCTGGAGAGACAGTGATAAGTGAGAGGGACAGGCACCCTCGGGCAAGCTCACCTGCCTCATCAAACCCCAGCAGCTGAGGGGAGTCCGTCCAGAGGACAAGGACCCCTCCCTTCCACAACACCGCAGACACAGGTGAGAATGACAGTTTAATGCGAGCATTTTCTTAGAAGACCTCAGAAGCACACAAAGCCCAGGAGCTCTGCCATGGCGCGTCCATCAGTAACACTGTCTCCCACTCCGGGAAACAAGCAGTCCTTTAGCTGACATTTTTTTCTCTTAACTAACCCTTTCTGTCCTATCAGCCTACAAAACCCAACAAAATTCACACAGAACATTATTTCTGTACCTCACCATTAGTCAAACTGGTCCTAAGGTCTTCCACTGTCTTTTTTCACATTTCCTAAATAAAATGTTGAGCCTTTGTGCCAAAGCCATTTTCAAAATTCCATGCAACAACCAAATGAGAGGTAAAAGAAAATCAGCAACAGCTGCAGGGCTGGGAGTCGCATTAAGGAAAGGCCTCTCCCAGGCTGAGCGCCGTGCAGCCCATTGCAGGCTGCCCAGGACCCAGCTGGCTAGAGAGAGCAGAGACCAGCAGGCTCCCGCCCATGATGCACAGCGCACGTTCCCTCCACGACTACACGCAGTCATTAGAAACTTCGTTCTTTCTCAGAGACGGTGCAGAACCTCTTCCCTGCAGCAAGCACATGAGGTGAGGGGACTAAAACCATGGAGCCTGCACAATCACAGAGGCCTCTCACCAGAGCAGCCCTCGCCCCCCTCGGGGGCATCCACCTGGCACACGTGGGCTTCTGCACAGACTCCAGGGATCTTACAGCCTTTTTCCATCTTTGCACCACAAATGTCAATTATCTGGGTTTGCACCTCCTCACCCCAAATCCTCTCTGCAGTTGCCTGCTATTATTAGAAAGTCAGAGATGTCTTTTTAAATGAACATCTGACACACCTGGCTCCCCCTCTTTCAACAGGAAGAAGTTAACCCATCCAGTCCCTGGCTAAGGCCCCCAAACCCCTTCTTGCCGTGTCCTCTCACACACTCTGCACTTGCTGAGAACACAGACGAGAAGGAGCTTCCAGACAGCTCCCAGGACTCACATCACCAGCATGAGGCAAAGTTCAGAATAGATTTGGAAGCTCTTCTCCAGCATCACGGGGTGAGGGTCACAGAGTCAGGATGACATCTGCTCGGCCCACAATGCCTCCCTGCAGCAGGCCTCTGACAGCGGTGCCCCTGCTACACAAGTCCACACCAGAGCGAGGATTTTCTTATTCTTCATTATTCTGGGACACCAAAATGATTTAACTGTAACACATGTCAAATTGGCTGCCAAACGGACTGGCTTTCACCAGCCGTTCCTAATCACTGAGCAGGCTTGAGAGGGTGACTTAAGCCTGGCATGAGAAACATTTGTGCAAACTGTCAGCCATTGGGTCCTGAGCACCCGTCTACATCCCCCCTTCTGAGTCCCCACCCCCAGAGCCACTGCCAACTGCCAACGTGCTCCCCAGCTAGTCCACACAGCCCAGGCAGCTGCCACTCAGCCAGTCAGCAAGTGGCAGGCCGCCAGCACACGGCCTCAGAGTGAAGCCTGCCCGGCACAGCGGCTAAAGGTCGAAGGTCTCTGGGTGTCCTAGCTTCAGATTCGCCTCACTTGCCCTGCCACCGTCCTTCTCCGCCCCTCTGGTAAGCATTCCCCAGCAGCACTTCACTTGTCCCCATGGCAACAGCATCTGGTTTCAGGGTTAGGACTCATGATGACAGAATTCTCCTAGCCGAGGCTTGTGCCAAGGATGCACTAGCTAAACACCCACTGCTCACCACAGAGCCACCACCTCCTTCACTGCCCAGGCCTACAGCACAGTGCCAGCCCAGGGACAGGGCAACCAGGGCACCAAGCTCCAGGGGGACCAGACACAGCCCCCCACCCTGGCACACTGGCTGGCGTGGGGATGGTCCCCAACCCCAGAGCTGGCCGCTCTCCTCCACAGCCTGCTATTCCCAACCATGTGCACATGGACGACCTAACTGATGGCTGGCTGACCTCCTCCCCAAAGACAGCAGCAAGGCACCTGTTTTTAGCACCTCCATGTCAGAATTTGGCATCACTGGTACTTCCCATGCATGTAGCTGACAGTTCCTTAGTGATCTGGTATCCAATCTCGTCCCCTTGCACCCCCTGCATGGACAGCTTGGTCCGTCCATGACACCAGGCGCCCCCAGTCTCTCACTGTGTGGCCTCTGAGCCGTCCTCTGTACATGTGCCCACAAAGACACGGAAGGGAGGCACCAGGGCAGAGGACTAACACCAGCAAGTGAGGACATGCATGACCATCAGCCACTGCTGCCCAGGAGACTGTATTTGGATCAGCCACTGCTGCCCAGGAGACTGTATTTGCAGCGTACATTATGGGGCCTTGGCTTGGGGATAAAGTGGTGCTAATCTGGTCTCAGAGCTCAAAAGCAGGCTGTCCCTGCTACCTGGCTGGGCTTGGATCAGAGGGGACACAAAATTCAGCTTTTCACAGGGTTTTTCTCAGGAGCTCTGCAGAATGCACAGTCACTACTGACACCTAAAATCACACTCTCACATACATATTCCTGAGTTCAGTCTCCTATTCAAATCGCTTCCATCTTTACTATAAACCATTTGCAAATATGATCCTTCCCTTCAAACTTCTAAACCTCACAGTACTTTACTGATGCTTTCTTGGGTAAAATTTGTTGTACACACTCTCAACAAAGAAATGCAAACCGAGACACAAATCTCCAAGCCCCAGCAACAGCACACACCCAGCGGCTGCAAAGTGCACTGCCACCTTTTGGAGACCGTGTTCACTACATGGGATAAGAAAAGGCTTCCCAGTCCCCTTCCAGGCCTCAGGGGGCCACCAGGGCCTTCGCTCCCAAAGGAAGGGGAGAGAGACACAGTTGCTGGCCTCACTGTGCAGCTGTGGGTCTCAGGACATACGTGCAGGCAGGGACATCGGAGCAGCCAAGCTGACAAGCTGAGTCACAGCAGAGATGGTTCAGGGCAACCAGCCGGCAGCAATGTGAAGCCAGTCTCCTCCCTGAAGCTCAGGGGCCCTGCCCAGCCTAGAAAGAACACAGGCCCAGCCGGGCAAACAGCGACAGCCCCACATGAGGTCAGACTGTGACGGCAGGGCAGGTGGAAAGGCAACCCAAACAGACCCACCAGACAGACGATCTATGGAGCTGGATCTATGAGCTGTGTTCAAAGTTCCTTCGTACTCCTGCCTACTTAGCCCAGAGAAATGAAAAGGGACGTTCACACAAAAGCCTGTGCACAAATGCTCACAGCAGCTTTACTTGTGGGAGAAGTCAGAAGTAGTCCACATAGCTCTCAACAGGTGGACGTTAACGACAGAATGCCCATCCCATAGGGTGCTGCTCAGAAACAAAAATGAACTGTGACTGAATCAATCTCCAGGGGGTTCTACTGAAGGAAAAAAGCTAACTTCCAAATGTCACATACTTCCTGATTCCATTTATGCAACATTTTCAAAAGAACAGATTTCAGAAATGAAGGACATCTGGGGTTAAATTAAGAAGGGAGGTTACAAAAGGCAACTCCAGGGGTCCCTGTGGGGTCAGTGCCTTCAGTGTCTTCTCTGTGAACTTATACAGGTGATAAAACTGGGTAGAGCTTAATACAAGAGGGATGGGGGACCACGAGTGAAGCTGAAGACACCATGGCCAAACGCATGGAAAGAGGCTGGACCCACAGTTCTGTACAGTGCGGACACTGGGAAAATGGGCCAAGAATGCTTTTTTTCCACAAGTAATATCTATTACTTATCAACTATGCATTTGAATCTGTAATTATATCAATAAAAATTTCAATAAAAAAATCTCATTTGTAACCTTGTTTCTTAAATTTCTCCTAAGAACATTATTCTACATGGCAGTCAGGTACAGTAGCTGGTCCACTGACACATGTGCAGAATCAGGCAAAACTTGAGTGCAGCCAGTCCCCACGTTACAAACATCCAACTATGTACAACTCACACCTACAAATAGGGGCTATGACAATCAGTCCCCAAGCTATAAACATCCAACTTATATACGACTCACACTTACAAACAGGGGTTATTACAGTCAGTCCCCAAGTTACAAACATCTGACTAATGTACAACTCACACTTATAAACTGGGGCTATCACAGTGAGTCTCCAAGCTACAAATGTCCAACTTACATACAGCTTGCACTTATGAATACCCAGCCCCCAGGGTCCCCCATGGACAGTCAGGCCCTGCACACCCAGCCCTCAGGGTCCCCTATGGACAGTCAGGCCCTGCACACTCAGGCCCTGCAGACCCAGTGGATGGTCAAGACCTTCACACCCAGCCCCCAGCACCCCCGTGGACAGTCAGGCCCTGCACACCCAGCCCCCAGCACCCCC